GTGGGGTCACCGGAAATGACGTCGCAGTGGCTGAGTTTAAAATATTTTTCAACGAAAAATTCAGAAAATCTTCTTTAAATATGTATCTTAAATACTATAAAAAGTTTGAATAAGAATTCCATTTTTTATATAGAAAAAAAAATTGTTGAAAATATGCTATTTTTTCCCGGGTGTAAACCCATGTAACCCCTTAATCTAAAAAGAAAAACACAAATGGGGTAGGGTATTATAGAAAAAATACAATTTCAATCAATTCCAATTTAATGGTAACAACGGATCATTTCTAATATACTCATTGGATAATATCTATAAAATACGTTGTAAAATAAATTCTAAAATGAACTCTAATAAAATATAACTTGAACGTTAAATTCCGGAATTACAAATAGTTTCATCTCTTTAAAAGAATTAGTTTCCAAGATTACGATGAAAACATAACAAAATTACTCGGCCAATCCTGATTTTCTAACCGCAATCTAGTACGATTTCATGCGGTTTAAATCCCCATTATCCTTTGGGGCTTGCAATTATCTGATTGCTGAAAAAAAGCAATGAAGAAGAAGACGAAGAAGAAAAATAAAACGACACGAGACAGTTAGGGGAACACGAATGAATGATTTTCCGAAACCTATCGGCACGCCAAGCTTGCAAGCTCACAAAAGCTCACAAAACAACTCTCTCTCTCTCTTTCTCTCTCTCTCATGGTCGAATAAGGAAAGCACGAGCAAGCACAAACCTAATCCATATTCCGTACCAGGATGCACCTGTCTCCAGCAAACGAAATTTACCAAAGTTATAATGAGACTAAGGTAAAAGCGGGCCACACGGTTTGGGATTTCTGTTAAAATGCGAAAAAATCTCAGGGGAATGAGAGGAGGTCATTGTATTTGCAAACCACTAACACCATAAGTATTCAAACTTGTTTGATTAGATAAATTTCTCTTTTGCTTAGAATTTATTTCTATATAATTCTAATTGTAAGTATGTTATACACAATTGATCACTAAAGAAACTTCGTCACACTTGTTTTTTTTCCCTATTTTTTTTTTTTTTTGAGGTGGGGTGGGATGGGGAATCAAATCATTGAAAGACTATAATATTAAACCTCTCTTGTTTCTTATTTTTTAATTTTTTAATTTTTAATTTAAAGAAACATTTATCACTCGTAATTATTTTCTATTTTACAACTGTTTGTTTTTTTTTTTTCAAATCTTGATTTCAACATTAATTAAATTAATATAAAATTTTTATTCCATTTAATTTCTATTTCCCGATGTAAATTATTGAATTATTCTAATTGAAAAATATTTTTCTCGATATAATTAAAACCTCGTTACAAAATAATAATTTTTTGAATAATATTTTTTAAAAAAATAATTTTTTTAAAAACTAAAGTTGTAAGTAACACTTTTAAAAAAATATTTGAAGCACATAATGTTTGTCAAATCGGTTTGATTATACCTAATTGATATTAATTGATGATCCTAATGAAAAAAAAAAAAAAGAAGGAAGATAATTTTCTAATAATAAAAGCTTATTGAATAATCAGTCATTAAAGAAGATACTTGAGTACTTTTTCAAAAGGGATGATGATGATGATCTCCAGTAGCAACGCTTCTATCGATCGTTAGAAACACACGCTCGTGAAACATTAACGAATGTTGAATGCGTTAACTATAGTACAACACATTAATTTGTAGGATATACTAACAGGGAAAGAGAACATGTGATGTGTGTTGGAAGAGATGGGCACACACGCACATCCCACTTTATCGTTTTAGAAAGTAAAAGTAACTAGCACGACGAGAAATATTACTCGACGAATTCTCGTCAATAAAAAAAAAAAATTACATATAATATTTTCCTATTTTTTTTTTGTAAATCATTTATCGATTAGACGAACCAGAATAATTTACGATTTATAATAACAATAATAATTCTTATTTAATTAAAAATAATTAGATGATTTGGATTAATTATATTTGAAATATATTGTTAAAAACTTTCAAATGTTTAATAACAATAATTGTTATCTTGTTTAATATTAAACTTACCATGACCAGTTTATATAAGAAATTGCAAGGAGGGTTTAAAAATATTATAGGTTTAATGTTAATTAATAATCTTGAAAGAAATTCATTTAAATTTAGATGAATTAAATTTTATAAAATAATAATTTTGAATATAAATTTAATAT